CCACTTGGAGAGAGCTGAAAGCCCTATGAAGCGGTATATAAGTCTAACTGCTAACTGCTATTGCTAACCTCTGGAGTCCATTTAAGCTCGTGCCTAATACTTCGGTGATTCCATCCATCTGCCTCATTCTCTGTTGTTCCCTTCTTCTTTTGCCCTCAATCGTTCCCAGCATTAGGCTCTTCTCCAGTGAGTCCTTCATTCTCATTAGGTGGCCAAAGTATTTGAGGTTCATCTTCCAGATCTGGCCTTCTAAACAACAGTCATCAAGGTTGATCTCCTCTAAGACTGACCGGTTTGATTGCCTTCCAGTCCAAGGGACTCACAGGAGTCTTCTCCAGCACTATAGTTCAAAGGTCTCAATTCTTTGGCTCTCAGCCTTTGTTATGGTCCAACATTCATAGCCATACATTGCAACTGGAAAAACCATAGTCATGACTATACACACTTTTGTTAACAGGGTGATGTCTCTGCTTTTTAGTATGCTGTCTAGATTTGCCATAGCTTTCCTCCCCAGGAGCAAGCGTCTTTTAATTTCTTGGCTGCACTCCCCATCTGCAGTGAACTTGGGGCTCAGGGAAATAAAATCTGTCACTACCTACATTTCTTCTCCATTTATTTGCCAGGAATTGAGAAGGCCGGATGCCATGATCTTAGTTTTCTTAATGTTGAGTTTCAAGCCAACTTGAAACCACAGTTAGCACAGTTAATTGTGAGTGATGAACCTATACCATTTTTCTTTCATTTTTCTTTCTGTAGTGCCTAAAGCAATTAAGATATTTTCAGTCAAGATACTGCTGCAAAATAGTCATTACAAATATAAATAATAATACTTTTGCATCACTTATTACTCCTATGACATTACCACTCTTTCCTTGAGGGACTTATCAGTACAAAACCATGAAAAACAATGAGTTAGTTTTCAATAATAAATGGCCTCAAATAAGCTTCTTGTTTGAAAATCTGTAGAAGTTCTGTGAGTGCTTTATTTCTCTCTCTTCATATACAGTATTCTAACTGTCATTGCCTAAGCTCTTTCATTATTGTTTTTAATTGACTGTTTACTGAAGCGTCTTGAACAAAATAATCCAGTACTTCCTTCTTAAAGAAAATTTATTTGTCTGTCTGATAGGGAAAGGAAATCATAAGTAGTGTGGTAAAGTTTCTTTGAAGTGCAGCCTTTGAGATCTCTTTGAATGGAAAAAGAGCTAATACTTCAAAAGAAAGTGGTCATTTAATCTGTAGTCATAACTAAAGCATTTTTCTGAAAGAGACAACAGTTCAAGAAGTGGGAAAGCTGTTTTTTATGAGGGTGGTTACTGTTATAGAATGAAAAGCCTTTTGTTAAATCAAAATCTTTAAAATTCTGATGGAAGTACAGTAGAAATGAGTGCAGAAAAATCTAATGGGAGCCAAAATAAGTATAACTTTATAATTATAAAATCATTTGTTTAGAAAATTTATTTCTATTAATCAAACAAATATATGAAATTCAAGAGAGGAAATGTGGGGGGAAATTACATTTTCATTTAATTACCATGTGACAACAAGATGATTCTCACTAATAAATAAGACATTTTATTACAAAAAGAAAGGAAGAAAAAAGAGAAAGTAAAAGATTTTCAATTGTTGAAGCAAATTAAACTTAGATACTGCAATGCAAAGCAACAAAATTGTCAAATAATTTTCCACTGGAATCTATTTTTCTAATTATCTGGTTTTTGGGAGGGGGGCTTTAAGTAAATATACATAGTAGTTTTTTCTTTCAGGTTCTCTGAGATTATTTCTGCTTTGAAAAACATTCTATGATGTTTTCCCAAAAATTCATGACTTTCTAGGGTAAATATTTATGGTTCAGACCTTTTTGAAATATAATCTCTATTTATTTTAAAAATCAAATTTTGGTATAATTAATGAAGTTTTATCATTTCAGTTTGCTTATTTCTCTATTCATAAAATTTGCTAAAATATTTAATTTTTAAATTCTTGCTAATTTGTGTCCTTTTTAAACTTGGACATTGATTGATTGATTTTCTGCTTTTTTCATTTTCTTTTTAAACTATACATCTGCAGCGGAAAGTTACAAGGAATCCCAGACAACAAAGATTAAAGAAGAGCCAATGGAAGTTGAGATTCATGAATCCCATGCCTCTGTTTCACCTAGCCAAAATGTCAGTTACAGCACTTTACTTAGGCAAGAAATAACTGAACAGGTACAAAAGATCCCTGAAAGCCGTGTAGTTCCGGAGAGAAACCTCTTTAGCCAAGATATATCCGTGAAAATGGCTTCAGAATTACTTTTTCAATTGTCAGGTAAATATTATATCTAAAGATCCACGATATACTTTTTCAGATTTGTCTTGTCTGAATTTGCTGTGTGTTGCTTTTTCTTAAGTATCTACTGATATACTAAGACCTGCAGTCTTATAGTATTTAAAATAGTTACAATCTGTCTTATTTTTGGGGAAAGCATGGTATGTATAGAATAGCACTTGAAGTCCTATTAAAGACCATAATAAATAAACATGGTTGTTATTATGGCTACAAATCAATTAGAAAAATAGCCTTCTTTCACTATTGATTCCTATTTAAAAAAGCCAAGACTAGCCAGGTGTTGCTAATTTTGTTAGCAGTATAGCAGAAGCTACTGTTTCATATTCTATATTTTTCCAATACATTTTTTGTAAAAGAAAATATAGGAGACAATTTACCCCTAACAATTTCCTAAGCAAATTAATTATCTAGAAATAGAAAAAAAGTATCAATATCATCTGCTTTTTTTCTACTTTTTCTGCATTGCGTGAATTGCAGTTTGGAAGGTTTATCCAACTTCTAGATTACCTCTAGAGTTCATTGTTTCCATAGCACTATACAATATATGTCTATATTCTCAGCATATCTTTTTCCCATTTGTTTGCTTTATCTTATTCTTCTTGCATGCTAAAGAGAGCACACAGAAACTGTCATTTAGGCCCCAATTATTCTAAAAAAGGAAATGTAGAACTCCTCAGTATGACTCATGGTAAATAGATTTATTATTTCAATGAGAAGCTGGAGGAAATATTTGAATAGGTTATAAATCTATATAAATATTATTTTTTCTTATTAAAAAAGTAATACTTTCATGAGTATCATATTTTGCTTAAAGTAATTTTATTTTTCCACAGAAAAAGTGAGCAAAGAGCACAATCACTCTAAAGATAATACCATCACTATTTCAACTAGGTAAGTACTACCGATGGTAGAGAAAAGTAGGCCTGATAAAGTTCAGTGTAACATCAGTTTTATAGATATTTGACCAAGGTGTCCAGCAAATATATTATTTCATATTTTATAGGCATAAAATAAAGGGTTTTTAAAATAAATTTTCATATATATCAAATTAGATAGAGTAGATAGATAGATTTGATTTCCTCATAAAAATATACATAAATAAAAAATGAAAATGTAACTTTTCCAGATATAATTACAAATGTATTGATTTAATCTTTGTTATGCAAAAAATAATATGAAATAGAAGAAACTGTCAACAACAAAAAATCAAAGAAAAATAGGCACTATCGTGCTTTTTTTCAAAAAATACTATTAATGGGAAACGGAGGGAGGATCAAAGCTGTTAATTAATGTTTAACTAATCTCATTTTCTGAATTTGAGATAATCACATTAATTCTGAGACTTTATATAATTTTATCTTTTTATTCGCATTTTTAAATGTTATCTATTTTGTTAATATTACCAAAATATTATTCATATTTTTTCTTTTCTTTTTTTTACTGAAAAAAATAAAACAAAATGTCAGGTTTGCTAAAATTCCCTCCTTTTTTAACCAAGCCTTCACATCTCTATGCATGATCCACAATCTAGCAAGAATTGAGTACAATGAAATCCCTTTGATTTCCTATTGAAACTATGTGAATTAACTGTGGCTGGATTATGGAATATCCTGTTTCTATTAATGTTATTGACTAATATTGTGTAACTCTGTTTGAGATGTAATTAAAAATGCAAGTCAATCATGAAGCCAGCTAATGAAATAAATTCTTGATGCACATATAAATTATAAGATTTTATTTATACCATGCACCCAAATGATTATTTTCTATGCTCACTGTTGTCAGTCACCATGGATGTGAAACCTCATCATCTTAAGGCAAACTGCTGACCAACACATTGCTTTACTTTTTCTTACTTAACCGTTGATGTAATGTGGATTACTCTCAGAACTGCTTATGTCTATGTGATTGTAAGAAAGGCAGTTTAATACTTGTCTTCTCCAGCTTGGATCTGAAAGAAAATAAAACACCCTGCCCAACCCTAATAGTCTTAACAAAGTTTTTATTTGTATCAGTGGGAACTTTTCTTTATAAGCATCCTATTGTACTGAGTTGCGGAGGCAGGGAAACTCTTTTTAGATCACTATTGGAGAGAAAAATACTTTCCCTCATGCTTGCAATTAATTAAGAAAAAATAGATATGTGGTTGTTGAGAATTTTTGTTTTAACTTGGCATGATTTCTCAGATTTCTTCCTAAAATCCTACTTGTTCAGCTTGGCAAAAAAAACAAAACCCTGAGTATGATATCAAATTTTTTACCTTATTTAATCCAACAAGTTAAGAAGTTGCTCTTAGGTGACTCTGAAAAGACTCATATTGAAATTAGTCATTATAATCTAAAAGTAAGCAACTTCAACCTCTGTACAGAGGGACAGTAATGATGGTGCAGCCAAGAAGAATTTTTGGAAGGCAGAAAAGAAATGGGTCCAAATTGCCTTTAGCTGCTAAATAAATGATACTGCAAGATTATTTTTCTGGACTGACCTATTAAGTTAGTTAAGATCCCATTTCAAAAAATTACAGTGTTTGCCATTCGTAAAATTACAATCATGCCTCTTGGATCTTCAAAAAAGGCATTTAGATGGATTGCAATCATGAGGGGGGGAAATCAAATACATGGAAAATCATGTGCAAGTCTTTTTGAGATAATGCTCACCTATTTACATTCAAATGACATTGTAATCTTTTTCCAAATTGTATTCCTTCCTTTGAATTTATCATTCAATAATCAGGCAAGAGCTCACTTTGACTTGTTGTATTGACCTTAAACAATTGCTTTTATTGTCTATATGGAAATTAGCTAGTGAATTAAGACAGGTGCTTATTATTTAAACAAGCCATTCAGGTAGTACTAGCATTAATAATAGCATTATTATATGTTATAAAATTTAAACAAGCTATAAGAAACTGGGAGTGCTAATAGTACTATCACTACCAAACAGGTTCCTTAAGCACAGACAGAATTTGTTGGCTCAGCCAAAGAGGAGGGAAATAACTGAGCTTCAAATGATTCCTTAATTACAAATACTTTTTCAAAAAAATATTAGCTGCTTATTAAAGGTTATATTAGAAATAAACGTGCTTCACATAAAACAATATTAAGACAGTAGTGTCAGTCTTCATACTAATTTTTACTTTATCCAGACTAACTGAATTACTTAGCTGGAACCTGCTTCTGGTATATATAGTATGTCTTTGCAGTGTAGTGCTCTATACACCTCATATAAACTGTCATATGTCCTGAAATTCCTCTACTACACAAATATAACTGAGTGTGCAGCCCACTAATACTACTTTTCTGAACAATACTCCAGAGTTATATTGAGAATACCTTGAGATGTTGGCAGTAAAATTAAATTCTTTTATGGTGGGTTGGCTTGTTTTGAATTATTTTCAAAATATTTTACACAGCATTTAGGATTGAATTTCATAATATTATTTTATAATAATTGTTGCAAAAGTTTATCCAAAACATGTTTTCAATTTTGGATACCTCTAAACCATAAAATTCTAATCAGATGCACCCTGTGATACAATTGTGCATTAATAGGATTTATTTAGTAATTAACATATATTTCTGTTTTAAAAATCATTTTTCCTCAGCCCATTTTTTTCTGAAGATACTTTTAGACAATCACCATTCACTTCGAACTCAAAAGATCTGTCTAATGAGAGTGCTGTTCAGGGAAGGACATCAGTTCTAGGTATGGAACATTAATGATACTATAGTAACACCATGTTTCAGATATTATGGTAAAAAATGCTAAACATGATGTAATATGTCAAGTAAAAATAGTGTGTTGGTTTTTACTTGGTTTAGCAAGTATTATTATTAGTTAAAATGTGTTGAGGAGTTGAAAAAAAAGAATGATTAATTGCATGGAGAGAATGGCATTATCACTAATATATCAATTCTAGGATAAAATGTAAAAAAGAATGATAATTAGAGATTTCCTAATTAGAATGCTGGGAAGAATGTTGCTCCATAACAATTATTTTATTTTTCTGGATTGTTTTTCTGGGATAGGATAGATAGGTAGATTGATTGATTGATTGATTGATTGATTCAGTTGCAATATTGTCATGACTGAATAAAAATTGTCTGGTTCAAGTGTACATTGCACGAAGCCATAGTTACCATTTAGATTAGATTAGATTAGATTAAAGATTCCATAGAATATGTTTGTATTAAACTGGGCTTTGGTTGGGCATATTGGCCAGGATAATTTAATCCATAAAATATTTAGTAGTCCTGCTAGTGTTTCCTGCATCCAAGGTTAACCAAGCTAACACAGATCTTTAGAATCTCTTGCAGCTCCTGAAAGATTTAGTTTATTCTTTTATTGTTGCAGTGTGGAACAGTGTGAGAACACCACTTTGCAGAAATAAAGTATTATGGATGCCATGCTATTTAAGATTCTATTAAGATTTAATATTGTTTGCAATTGCTATTAACTCCATTTTGAAGCATGGGTAAAACATAAATCTAGTCATAATCTTGTTTAGTCACCTTTCATATTTATCCAAAAGGCATACATGAAAGAATATACTCAAACACTAGCCATTGTTTTCTTGCTGTTTGGCCATAGCTAAGAGAAAAACCTGTCTAAAAATTTAAATACAGCTAGTCCTTGGCTTACAATAGTTTATTTGGTGACTGTTCAAAGTTACAATGTCACTGAAAAAAAAGTGAGTTATGACCATTTTTCACACAACAGTTGCAGCATCTCCATGGTCACTTGATAAAATTCACATAGTAGGTAACTGTCTCATATTTATAACAGTGGTAGTGTCATTTGATCCCCTTTTCAACCTTCTGAGAAGCAAAGTCAATGGAGAAACCAGAATCACTTCACAGCTGTGTCATTACTAACTTAACAATTGCAATGATTCACTTAACAACTATGGCAGGAAAGGTTGCAAAATGGGTCAAAACTCACTTAACAAAAGTCTTACTTAGCAACACAAATTTTGTTATTGTAAGTCAGCTACCTGTATTATATATTAGAAAATTCAGGGAAAACAGAGCTATATTAGTGAGCATAGTATTTCTTATTTTCACATTTTCCTTGTTTTGCCCCTGGCCCTTCTGTGTCCAACAAGAAAATAAGCTAAAAAGTAGAAATTATGTGAGGTAAGGGATGGAGACTAGAAAGCATTACTGTTCATTCATGGTGCCTATACTTTGAAATATTCCCTCTAGAACTCAGATTGGTTCCCACAAGTAATGTTTTTGGGAAGCCAGCAAATACAGAACTGTTCCAATATAACTATCATCATTTTCTTTATTTCACTTTTTATTCCTATTCCTTACTATTGGCTTTGCTTTGGAATTTTTAGATATTCTAGGCACTGATATTCTGAAGGTTTTAATTAAAATAATATTTTTCTCCTTTTCTTGTCATGGAGATTTTTTATACTTATTTTTTTTTTCTTATACTAGATGTTTTTAATCTATTTTATTTTGTTTTAAGGGGCCAGGAATCAGAATGATCCAGGGGCATACAAATTTAATAAATAAACAAAACTAATAAATAAGTAAATTAGATTCTTATCTATGAAATAAAGAATACAAATGACATATCCAAGGGCTTCAAGCTAGAAGAATGGAAAACATTTTGAATCTGAAAAGTTTCAAATTTGAAATAGTCATTTTATTTGGAACTGGTTGTCCTTGCCATTCTGTGTTTTATGCCTTAAATAGAGCTCAGTCATTCAGAGCAGTTTCTAACATAAAACAACTGTTTAAACTTGAAATGGCTGTTTTGAATTCAAAACAGAACATTATAAATTCAAAACATTTTGCACACTTCAGCTTCCAACTTTGTGTCAGAAATGAGAAATATCTCAGTAAGATGCAGCTAAAATCTGGCATTAGAAAAGTTCACATATGCACCGTCTGGAAGGGCAGAAATAGAAAAATGGTAAGCTGTGTAGTAATTTTTGTGACACAATTTAAGATGCCCAATGGCATCATGATACTGACCAATATATGAAACATTTAAGTAAAGAAAACAGCATCTGAAGTTCTGGCACGACTACTGTTAGTACTCAGTTTGAGGGACCTAAAGCAAAGTATCTTTGCATGGTGATGCAGAAACTGTATTTTATTTTTCTACGCCAATGTTTCTCAACCTTAGCAATTTTAATATGTGTGGACTTCAATATCCAGAATTCCCCAGCAGCCATGGGGATTTCTGGGAATTGAAATCTATGCATCTTAAAGTTGCCAAGATTGACAAACATTGGTCTAATTACCATATTCAGCAATAGGTTCCGGACTCAGTGCCTCCAAATGAGGCTATTTTGAGAGACATGGAAGGAAGATGATCAGTTTGCAGCCATTTGCCAATTTTTTTCACTTTCCAAGTCAAGTCCTGTTTTCATGCCAGTGAAATAAAGAAACATTGCACAGCTGCAACATGGGCCTGGCATTTTCCAGACCTTTTTACCTCCTGATGCTAGGTGGGGCAAAAGTGTTGTCTTCATTTCCCCCCTTTAAATATTTATCTAGATAGTAGCAGTGCAGTGATTAATATTGATTTTAATTCATGTTTCTTACAAATATGGAAGATTAATATACAATTAAGGTGGGCCTTTCAAATACACTAACAAAGCATTATTATATTAGATCAATTTATAGTCATCAGTCATAATTCGGTGTTAACAGAATTGCAGAGTTAAGGCTTTCTACCTGATTACTATTTGCAATGTTTGTTTTGTTTTGTTTTATTCTTTTGTAATCCTGCAAACATGAAAATTTCAGGAAATTGGGAGGGGAGTCAGTATTGGCTAAAACAACCCAATTCGCTCTCCTAATATTTTGCCAATAAGCAAAATTAGGATTCCTACAATATGCATTTTCCCTTATTTATAAAGATCGTAGGATTAATGGCCAAGAGAACCAGTATGGTCTAGTGATTAAAACACCAGGCTAGAAACCATGAGACTGTGGGTTCCAGGCAATAATGGGATTCAAAAAATGTTACTATGTTACTACTGGTTCTGTGGATGTGGCATGGCTTGGTAAGCGTGGCAGGGGAAAACTATTGCAAAATCCCCTTTTCCTCCCGAACAGCTGGGACTCGGAAGGCAAAGAATAGATGGGGGGTGGGGCCAGTCAGAGGTGGTATTTACCAGTTCTCTGAACTACCCCAAATTTCTGCTCCCGCTTCTCTATAACTGTCAGAACCTTCTGAATACTACCTCTGGTTCCAGGCCTGCTTTAGACATTACTGGGTGATTTTGGGCCAGTGACTCTCCTCTTATGAGTCAAGCTTGGATGACAAGATGGTTGGTCAATTCCTGTCACAAGCAATGGATGAACACTTAGTTGATCTGAAAAAAGTGGATCCTATACTTGTGGGAAAATGTAAAAGAGGAGGAGGGGTAGGATAAGAGGACCAATCAAGAATTCCCATTCTATCAGGAAAGAAGAAAATAGGAAGGAAAACAGGATTTCTGTGGAGAAGAGTCCAGACTGAAGAAGATTCAAATGATTCATTCTCATCAGAGGAAAGTCCCTGTGTGATTATAAGCAAAACTTAGTAGTAGCTGTGGAATATTAATATTTTTGTAGAAGCAAAGAAAATAGAAGAATTAGCTGCTATAATATATCTCAAGGGGGACAGCGCAGATAGTTAATTATACAAAATAAGCATAAGATGTATCAGTTGGGAGGGGTGAGACATGATCTTTCATACATATTTAGGATGTGCTTAGATGAACCTGACTAAGGTGACCAGATGTCCCGCTTTTGGCAGGATAGTCACGCTTTTTCACAATTTTTCCCGCGTCCCGGTGTTTTTTTTTTAAGTCCCGATTTTTTTTTATAAATATATATTTTATTCATTTTCACATTCCATTTTACAGTCACTTATATACTGGATATTTGCCATAAGAAAAAAAAAAACACAACTCATCATCATTCACAACCCCACCTGAAACTTCCATCCTCCATACACCCC